TGAGTTTGGTGGTTTTTTTGTCTTCCCTTATAATGGGGTGATGCGCCATGAAATAAATCGAACCATTAGTTAACTCCTCTACAGGGTAATTGACAATTTTGGCATGATTTAAATTCAAATAATCATCCATGAAACTCTTATATTGTGAGAAAAGATCAGGATTAACTCTAAATCTTTTTTCCAGGTTTTCAAAGCGCTTTATAGCCACTGAAAATGAATCCCCCAAATTTATGTCAGTTTGTTTTAGTGGCAATTTCACCTGATATTGGTTATTTATTATTTCAAGAGAATTTTGAAAACAAGACTCGCAAGCTTCTTGCTCGCTGGGATATTCTGGAAATATCTCAGGGACTTTCTCAGTTTCCCAAAATTGAGACATGGTTTTTTCAAGATCTGAATAGGTCGCGTGAAACGCAAAAAAATTGCATGTGACATTTGCACAAGCAGAAATTGCACCGCTTACAATATAACCGAATAGGGTGTTTTGAAAATATATATTGTTGCATTTAAGCTTCTCCGAGAGAAAAATTTCAAACGCCACATTTGCACCCAATAAAAAATCAATCGGTCCCGAGCGGTAAAAACTGTCATCAGACAAATGAATATTCCGAGGCGTTTCAAACTCTGAAATATCAAAACTTACATTAGGCAAATTGCTTGTAATAGTGTCAACAAGCGCACACTTTATGTTTTTTGAATAATCAAAAACCAAAGATTCAATATTTAAATTTATTGATTTATTAATTTTAGTTTTAGTCTCCGATATGCCAGTGATATTCAAAGAACTATTAAAGGCTTTTAATCCTAGCTTTTCAACTAAACTGTTTGTTACTAAACAAATCTGAGAGCCGGTGTTAACCAGACCTCGGGCGTAAATATATTTGCCTTTATTAGATTTAATTTTTACTTTTAAGGTAGGTAAAAGTACAGATTCTTGCTGTGAGGCATTGGAATACATGACTCTGCGTTCAGTAGGAAAATTATTATTTTCACATTGCTTGTCCAAATGCAGCAGGGTATTGTGTTCCTTTTGACACATACCACACCGAAACAACATTTTACACTTTCCAGAATGAATATTCAAACATAATTTACAAAAATTCTGTCTGTCGACAAAAGATATACGATCCTTTACTAGTACGGATTTGAACTTTTTACAATTATACAGTTTATGTCCAGATATTGAACAAAAGGGACATTTTACATTGGTTTGTTTTGTTAATAAACCGTAAACCTTTTCTTTAGTTTTATGCTCTGGGGTACTACTAGTTGCCTCTAAGGCTGTAGCTCTATTTTCTAAATAGGCCAAGAATTCATCCAAAGTCGGCAATTTGAAACTATCACGATCTATTTGATAGGCTCTGTTGGTAAATTGGTCAACTTTTCTACTTAAAATACAAATCATCACCATGTCCCAGTTGTCAACAGGCTGGGCTAGGTTTTTGAGAGCTCCAATTTGCTGCTTGATGCGACTTACAAAATCTCTAAGTGCATGAGCTGTACCTTTTTGTATGGCAGGAATATCCAAAATAGAAAAAATATGTGAATTTATGATCATAGTTTCATTATTAAATCTGTTATTTAAAATATCTATGGCACCTTGATATGAAGAATTTATTAGTGGCAGATTATCAATTAAGCTTAAAGCCTCACCCTTCAAATAATTTCTCAAATAAAAGAGCTTTTCAACATCTTTTAACTGTTGATTTTTATCGATGACAGCATTAAATATATCGATAAAAGATTTGAAATTGGTTAAATTTTTTCCATCAAAGGTAGGTATCTCGATTGGGGGCAATTTAGCAGCAGAAATAAAATTATTACTTTGAGTAGGTGGAATTGAAACCGATTGAGCAATATTAGTTGCTAAATTACTAGTATTAGCTGGTCCTGGTAAATTAGATTTAGGTAAACAATTTTTAATACTTACAATGACATCATAAAAAAGAGTTTCTACATCATCAATTGAATCATCATAGTTACCATCAAGGCACAGAATTTCAACTTGAATGTCTTTAAGCTTTTGAAAACTGTCCTGCAATATTTCCTTCCGAACTAAAAATTGGTCGGTTTTATACTCACTGTCAGGATCAGATTTGTGATCGGAAATATAACGACTTATTCTAACCATGGAGTCGATTGCTTGCTTTTTCTTTGACAATAATTTATCAATTTGCTTTTTGGTAGCCATATTTACAAAGTTTACAATCAAAAAAATAAGAAAATATCAAAAGAAATCTATAAACAAAATTTAAAATTACCTAATAAATTAGATTTTTTTTTAAAAAACTACTTAACAAAACGAAAAACGGATAATTGTTCATCCTTTAAATAAATAATGAAAAAATAGCAATAATTAATGCGAAAAATTCAGTTTTTCAAAAATAATGCAAATTCACTCAAATTCACTGCAAAAATCCAAAATACACAAACAACAAACAACAAAACGTAAACAAATGTTTGACATTTAATTTGAGGTTAAGCTGTCGGGGTGGTGAACTCTCACTTTCATGTTCGTTGCTCCGGGGCTGTACTTCATTGCACCAAGCAAGGATACTGCACCCGGGGTGACTTGGGTTGAACCAGACGAGAAAAAGAAGCACCCTTTTGAATTTGACAAGTGAAGTTTGTTTGCTCCGCCCCACTCTACTTACGCACTTCCGGTTCCGGCGGAAACCTTCGCTGGTGGCACGTGGAACCCAACGTTGTTTGAGACACGTGCAGACTGCACAGTGGATGATTGATTTTTTGCATCACATGGCGCCAAAAATCACGATGGAACAATCAATAACCACTAAAAAGGCACTTTTTGAGGGTTTTTAAAGCATTTTTAGGTTCCGAACTATCCAGTATCCGGCTCGAACTGGCCAAAATTATGTGCAAAACCACATAATGGAAGATAAATAACTTGATAATTAGTGGACTGTATAATTAGGTGGACTGGATGATCGACTGGATAGGGAACTAAAACACACGCGCTTTTCACTGACACTATATTTACAACAATTTACACAATATTTACACTATTTACAATTACTACTACAAGATGACAAGAAGCCAGAGCTTGCTTAGATGCCCAACAGGGCAGAGCTAGATTATAAAATTTATTAAAATGTGAAAAGGTTTCTGGATGCTTGTTAACGTGGACAAGCTCCAAGCTACACTGCTGCAATGACAAAAATGGCGCGCAATATATTGACAGACATGACAAAATAGACATGACGACAACGCTGCAGTGTTGCAAACTTTATATGTATAAAAATATTTTGCCATCAAAAAGAGATAGCATGATTGTTGGAACATGTTTCCAACATTATCTGAGAAATGACAGGAATTAAAAAATTTCGAAAATTCCCCAAAAAAAAAATACGGAAATTACCAATTTTCGAAAATTTTAAAAACTTAGGGGGAATTAAAAAACTAACAGAAATGACAGGAATTACAAAATTTCGAAAATTCCCAAAATAAAATACGAAAATTACATGTTATCGGAATTATCAAAATAACGAAGTTTTCTGAGAAATTACAGGAATTAAAAAATTACGGAAATCTGAAAACTACAGGAATTATTCAAAAATTATGAAAAATACGAAAAAATTACGGGAATTAAAAAAATTGTGACAATTTTCAAAAAATTACGAAAATAACAAGAATTACAAAAAGTTACGGGATTCACGAATTTTCCGAAAATTGCAAAAACTAAGGAGGAATTATGAAATTAACGAGTTTTTTTTGAGAAATGACGGGAATTTGAGAATTTTCGAAAATTCCAAGAAAAAAAAAATACGGGATTTACCAATTTGTGAGAATCACAACAAACTGGGGGCGAATTATAAAGATATATAAGAGTTTTTTGAGAAATTACGGGAATTATAAAATTACGAAAATTTGAGGAACTACAGGAAATATAAAAATTGAAAGAAATAAGAAAAAATCACGGGAACTGCGAAAAAATTACGATAATTTTTGGAAAGTTACGGGATTTAAGAAAAAGTTACGGGAATTACGAAAATTACGAGTTTTCCAAGAATTGCAATGACTAAGGAAGAATTATAGAAATAGGGAGAATTATCTGAGAAATTACGGAAATAATGAAAATTCACAAAAAAAAAAAAAATTGAAAATTACGGGAATTACGAATTTTTGAAAGTAACAAAAACTTAGGGGGGGAATTATAAAATAAGTAACTGAATATTTTGAGAAATTACAGAAATTAAAAAATTACGAAAATCTGAGAAACAACAGGAATTATTCAAAAATTACGGGAATTCCAGAAAAATTACGATGGATTTTGGAAAGTTATGAAAAATTAAGGAACTTACGAAAAAGTTATGGGAATTACGAAAATTACGAGTTTTGCGAAAATTGCAAAAACTAAGGAAAAATTATAAAAATAACGAAATTTATTTGAGAAATAACGGCTTTCAACAATTTTTTTTCGCAATTTCACCTTCACTTTTCCGCAATTTCAAAGTCCAAACTCACTTTCTCGCAATTTCAACAAATTTTTCCGCAAATTTTGCCTCACTTTTCCGTTATTCTTACCTCATTTTTCAATAAGTATAACCTCACTTTTCCGCGATTTTCGCCTCACATTTCCGCAGTTTCAACCTAATTTTTCCAAAGTTTTTACTTTTGTTTTTCGTATTTATAACCTCAAAAAATGGTGCTGCAGCACCCCTTAAATTTGGAGCCTAGTTGCGCTTATGATATGTACGCTGCAATTTTACCGGTTCCGTGTTTTACGCTCAAAAAGTCTATGTCTTGTGCCGTTAAAAAGGGACCTTGAGTGCCTTAAGTCGATGGTGATACGTTGGTGGTTGTGGAGAACCGTTTTCCAGGGGATCCCCGTATATACGCACAGCTTATAAGAAAACCCAGGTGAGTGGTAATAACTTTTGTGTGTTTCGACAACCCTATGTTATCATTTTCATTTCTATTTCTATTTGTTTGCGCGATTTTTCAGTTTATTAAATTTCAAATATTGCGTAAACACTTACTTTCTTCTACTGTTCACTTGATCGCTGAAGAACTTTTCCCATGTATACAGCTTGATAATTTTAATCGAGGACAAAATCTCCTGTGTGATTTGCAACCGTTCATCTGTCTTTTTGCCTATACGTAAGCGCAAATTGGTGATCCACTTGCCCAAATACACTGCAAAAAAATACATTTATTAATTATGATTGATCAAATATCACTGGGGTTGTTATCTTGTCCAATACCTAGATTGTCTTCAGTTCTCTCAAATTAGCCTATCCAAACAAATGTCTACTCTACTAGTATTAAGACATAAGGTCTGTTCTCATAGAAATCACAAACAAGTCGGAATATTTTTAATTGGTGCAAATCTCCAACAACCAGTTTTCTGACTATTTTCATCCAATGGAATTCGCTCTGACCTTTTTGTAATTTCTGTGACTACCGACTTATAGTATAGCATACATTATGCCCCAGACAGCACAGAGACATCTTAAAACCGTCCTAAGATGTTAACAAATGACATTCGAGACATCTGCTTACCTCTTCAAGGCGTCTTAAAGACATCTCAAAGACGTCGTATCTTACAAAACCCAACGTCTTTCAGACGTCTGCCTAAAGACGTATTCAAGACTAAGACGCTTTTCAATAAGCTATACATAAACCATTATTAACTTCAAATATTTAGTTGTCTTCGAAATGTGAATTCACGACATCTTATGGACATTGAGTCTAGATGTCTTTTTTTGAATTTCAAACCTAATAACGACTTTATGTGCTGTCTAGGACTTCCTTGGATTACTTAGAATGCTATTATCCAGTATTAATTACCTTGCAAAGGAAGGACGGTAATTAAAAACGCAACCCCAATCAACGACACCCAACCCATTTTTTTGAACAACAAGTAAACGATAAATGAGGACGTCAAGGTTCCGATCCACATGTCGTTGAACAGCCAAATCGACGATTCAAAAACGTGCACGTCCTTAGTGATCAACGTCACAATGTTGCCCAAACTGATTTCATTCATTGCAGATGGAGTCAGTTTTAACGCTTTCCGGTAGAGCAGCGAGCAAAACGACGTGCGGATTTTGATAGCGAACGTATCCACCCAAATAATGTAGTTGTGTACGTAAAAGCAGTTCAGAAGGTTAAGTGATATCACTACAGCACTGTAGGTGTACATTTCGTTGCGGCTGCACGTGTCTTCGGATTTGAAGCAGTTTATTAGGCTGCTAACTGCGTATGGCTCTGTTGCTCTACAAAATGATAATTCAGAGTATTTCCTTCATTCATTGCAAGATATGAAAATATTATAAATTTGAATATTTTTCTACTTACAAGGTAAATGTTTTGTATGATAACCATATCAGTCCAATACAAATGTATTTGATGCCGAATCTGGAAAACATCAAACGGGTGAACGAAGGGCTTTTCCTCAAATGTTCGTTTTTCCATCCCGTTTCGATTTTTTCGCCGCACTTGTCCGAATTTAGGGATTTAAGGACAGCGTAAAGGTCGTCCTCCTCTAAATGGTCTTTCTTAAGGGCTTTCCTGAACAGTTTCCGTGTATATCTAAAATAATGAGTGTTATAATTTATTCTCTTGAATAAATTTAGTTATGCTTTCTTAGTTATTGACCCAATCTAGAGATTTAGTGAATTTCAACCAAATCCCGATGCTAGAGACGTTAACTTAAACTTTCTTTGGAAGGGGTTGGGGGTTGTATCTATTTTTTTTATTCAAAAATTTTGAACTTACAATACAAATACCTGCAATAAATAAACTGCTGGACAAATGAAGCGGAACAAGCGAATTTTTAGGTTAACTTCAAATTCCAATATTATCTAAGTGAACTAAAAAAGATATCAATAAACGGTTTGCGAAAATTAACTTTCAAACTACGCAAATCACTCAATGATTACTTCTTCAGTTCGTGTAATATTGGAATCCAAAGTTAAATTAAAAATTCGCTTGTTCCAGTTTATTTGTCTAGCAGTTTATAATTAAGTGTTTTTCGTACCTAAAGTTTATGAATTTTTCAAATAATTTTACTTACGAAAATGTCAGAGAAGAAAATATATTAGCCTTTTCCTTAGGATTTCTTTCACGAATTTCCCTTTTTAAATGATCCATTTTGAACTATCCCAGAAAACATTAAAATCTAATATCACTATAAATTCACAATATTATAAAATTCATAATTTAAATAGGACCAGTACGTTGAAACAATAGCGACAAAGTGCGAAAAATCCGTGAGCAAAGGAAGCCTTTTATTAATTTATTTTCAATAAAACGACACGTTAAGATTGAAACAATACATCTGAGAAAAAAAAAATTGTGTCGTCTAGATTTACTATTTAAGTAATAGATAAATACGGGTGAAAGAACAATGCCCTAATGCATTTGGAATTACGAGTGTTTGGCTTTTGATAACTATGAAATAATAGATAAAACAAATTCCCATACTATTGTCAAGATTCAACAGGGAAAATCTAAGTTCTTGTGTATTTTAAAAGTAATTCAGTTTATCTTCAGCAAAACCATTTTTTTTTCTTTCTCTCTTGAGTAATATCCTATAATCTAAAAATGCTACCTACCAAAAGTAATATCTTACAGTTTATGAAGAATTTGAAGCTTTTTCCATTGATATTTAGTTTCAGAATCTAAGTCGATTTGCCTAAATCTTAAGAAGAATTTTGTTTAACATAGGAACTTTTTTCTATATTGTTATTTAATTAAAAAGTGGAGTCAATAGTTTTTGATGAAGTTTCAGCTGCTTTACATAATTGGTAAATTTTTGAAAATTATTTTTTTTCCAAAAACTGGTATTAATATGTAATTCCAACTCAAATTATTTACAAAGATTGTATCTACTGCAAATGTGCAAATATTAATAAATAGCTACATTTTTCAATGAAAAATATCTTTCCATAAAGGGATTAAGCCAATTTATGTGTTGCCTAAGGACGCAAGCATGAATAGACAACAATTTAAATACAATGTTATAACATAAAATTATGCAATAATTACTACAATGAGTTTAGTAATAGTAATTATTACTTTTTAGACCCCTCAGACGACATCCCTCAAATAAGCTCAAAAATTTCAGGTTTTGGCTTGGAATTTGTGTAAACTGAACTTATTCACTAATTTAAACAATAGGTACTAAAATAATGAAATTTCAATTTTTTTTATGTTGAGATTTTGCGTTTATATAAACTAGGTACGCATCAATCGAAATCGAACACCCCAATTTTTGGTCACTTTTTGTTAGATTATAAATCAAAATCTAGCAGGCCGATTGCTATTTAATTTCCTTCTGTTAACAGATTTCCGTCCACCTGCTGAAAGATACAGGGTAAAACATGAGTTTTTTTTGCGGCCAAACTTTTAATAGGATTAATGTTATATAATTCAACTTTTCTTTTTGGCGCATTAGGTCTTTTTTTTTTGCTACTGGTTTCCCATCGCCTTCTTGAACTTCTAAAACTTGCTTTCGTGAAGCCCACTCTCGATCATTGTTCCTATGCTTCCTATTCGGTCTTTTTTGAGATTCAATTCGCGGAAGTTCAGGACGATATAATTACTTTAATCGGTTGTATTCAGCAATGGGCTCTTTCACTAAAATTTAAATACGTAATTTAAGTATAAAATCCCAAAGGAGGGACTATTTTAGGCATATACAGTGACCGCCAAAAAGTTTGCAACAAATGGGAAAATATTTTATTATTAAGATATCAAAGAGAATAATAATAAAAAAAATTCTCATTTGTTGCAAACTTTTTGGCGGTCACTGTATACCAAAAAAAAAATGTTCTACAAGGTTAAATAAGTTTTTTACAGGCATTTGAAAATGGCGAAATTCAAAATGATTTAAAACGCGCCGATTTGCTGACGTCACATAAATATTTTTCATTTCGCTCGTTGTTGCAACGAGCTGACCGCTTCGGCTGTGTTATCGTGTAGTAAAAGCAGGTAAAGGTTCGAATGCGCTGTTGTCAGTGGTGACTAAATGTAGTGCAACGTAAAAAAATAAAATAAAATTAAACATAAAAAATTGTATTAAATTGTGTTTAAGCATAATTTCAATAAAAAAGTTATAAAATCTTGAATCCATAACTAATTAATTTAACTACTTTTCATGATATTTTGCGAACATTTCTGAATTAAATCTATTACAAATTTTCAATGTTGACAATTAGTGGCAACACGGTCAAATTGCGAGCTGCGACGTCATAGAAATAAATTCTGGGTTTTTATTTGGAGGTACCTATTTCTTTTTTTTCGGTTTTCTCAAGAAGGACTATGAATTTTTCAAAAGTAAAAATACTGAAAATTCTGTTTTCAGTTGCTTTATCCAAATATGCCAATTTCAAATATTATTGAAAGAGCCCATTGCGGACATTTGCGCTTTAATGTTATTAGTATCTAAGTTTATTAGATAAATTCCTTCTAAACTTGAAACTCAGGAAATCGCCACATGCTTGGCCGCATGAAAACACCGATAAACCTATATCAATAAGTGCATAAGGAAGACTTAAGCCTTGGCTTTTGGGAATGGTTGATAGCTTATGCAATATACAAATTGGAAATTGCTCTCTGGACGCATGTACGACTAATAATCTCAAATTTGGAGAAATTTCATAATGAAGTCCATTGTTAAACTTTGTTTCAAAAGCTTTGACCAGAGAACCATTTACCAGACCCAATCTATCATCTATATTTGGCTTTAACATAATTCTAACTCCTTTGAATACAATACTTTTTTCTAATCCCGCTGTCATTGAGACGTCCTCTTTATGTTTTTTAAGCGCTTCACGGGCTTCTTTTAGAAGAAATTTTGGAAAGTTCAAGTTATCTGAAGCGATGAGTTCAACATATGGACTGGAAAGAGCTTCGAATTGAATTGAATGCTGTTTACAAATACTGTATATTTAAGAGAAGAATCTGAGGAGCAGGCTTACGGAGCTACGAAGGATGCAGAATAATATTCTGCGTGTGGCTAAATTTACTAAAATGTTTCACCGATCTTGATGGGTTCGTTTAGGATCGACTAAAATACGCACACATAGCTTGCACATACGCACTGTTTTTGGAGCAAATGGTTTCAGGTTCGATTCTCGTTGAAAGCAATCCTTTTTTTTTTTCAAGTTTTGTTTTTTCTTAGAATTGTTATTTTTCTTCTAAGGAATATTAAGAGAACGGGCTAGTTTGGATTACCTCTGTTTGGCATTACTTTTTTTTTAAGTTTTGCTTTTTTTCTTAGGATTTTAATTTTTTTTTGAAGATTATTACGAGGACAGGTTAGTTTGGATTAGCTCTAATTTCGTTTGAAATACCAACATACAAAGACTAGTCCTTATAACAAATTACGGTGAAGCTCCGTCTGTCTGTTCCCCAGACTATTGTGTTTAACGATAGCTGTAGAGGGTGGTCAGATTTTCAGGGTTTTTTTTTTCCGTGGGTTTGCCATAATTCATATCTTTATGCAAAATTTTAGCCTTCTAGCATATTTGGAAGTACCTTAGAATTTTGATGATCTATACATGAGTAAGTGTCAAAATTGGCGTTTTTTAAGGCCATGTAACTTTCTTGTTGGTTGATGGAAATCGATGAAATTTAAGTTTAGTATTAGGTCTACGGCTGTGCAAAATTTCAGTTTTTTAGGACACGTCAGAGCTGAGTTACCGGTAGGTCGAAAATGACCTGAAATGTTTCGAGAAAAGGTATACAGTAGTGCGCGAACTTGGCGGGGGGCACTACCGTGCCTCCAGATTACCATAATTGGTCTATAATTATATTTAAATTTTCCCTACTACCTGCTTTAAATATTGGGCTTATATTCTACTTACTTTTAATTCTTTTGGAAATACTCCATCTTTTAGAATATTATTGACTAGATTTGTTATAATGGTTATAAGATTACCTTTAAGGTTAATTACATCTATTACTGTTACCCCGTCATGCCCTGGAGCTGAATTTCGCTTTAGATCCGATATGATTTTATCGTTTTCCTGTTCATCAGTTGGTTCAACATAATATATTGTATTTTCTTGAGTTATATCTTCAAATTGAGGTTTATGATTCAGTAATCCTATTTCACCGTTCAGCTCCCTGATAATGTTTTCCCTATTTTCGAAAAATGCGTATGTAGGGTGGTTCATAATAGGTATCATTTATACCCTCAACTGTACCTAGATGTCCTACCTGTAATTTATCAATATGTGTTTCAGACTTTTTTGTGATCATTACGTGTTCTTGTAAAGATTTGTTTTAATTTCGTAGGGTTAGAGGACAGGACAACAAAAAGAAACTATCAAGCTTTCGGCATCGTTTCGGAATATATTTTTCCTTTTTCAAGTTAAATGTTTAAATTCAAAATACCGAATTTTTGGAAAAATTGATTGCATCCCTAAAATAATATGTTGAGAAGTGCCTTTGTCCATCCTGAACGGACTCCAGAAGCAATAATTTAAGGCTTGAAAAAGGAAAAATATTTTAACACGCTTATATTAGCTTCACCTGTATGTACCTATGTATGTATGTTTGTATGTATGTATGTATGTTTGTATGTAGTATGTATTTTTGTAAGTAACATTGAAAATGTTTATCGCACGGGCACATAGGGATGCGTGCGAACTTTTGGACCCTTGGGAAGTGTATGAACAAGAACCTGGAACAAGCCAAGTGAGCTGGAACAAGTCTGGATAAATCTGGATAAAGCCTGGAAAATTCTGGAAAATGTCTGGAATTCTCTGGAAACGTCTGGAAAGAGCCTGGAAATTTCTGAAAAGGGTCGGAAAAATTCTGCCAAAGGTCCCAAAAGACCTGAGGATCTTTTTCCAGAATCCGGATCAGCCTGTACAAGTCTGGATAAGTCTGTATATTGTCTGTAAAAGTCTGGAAATCTCTGGAAACGTCTGGAAAAGACTTGGAAATTTCTGGAAAGGGTCGGAAAAATTCTGGAAAAGGTCCCAATAGACCTGCGGATCATTTTCTAGAATCGGGATCAGTCTGAAAAAGTCTGGATAAAGTCTGGATTAATCTGGATGAAGTCTGTAAAACTCTGGAAAGCTTTGGATAAGTCTGCATAATGTCTGGAAAAGTCTGGAAACGTCTGGAAAAGGCCTGGAAACTTCTTGAAAGGGTCGGAAAAATTCTGGAAAAGGTTTCAAAAGACATCATTCTCTAGAATTTGGAGCAGTCTGTACAAGTCTGGATAAGGGCTGGATAAATCTGGATGAAGTCTGTAAAACTCTGGATAAGTCTGGATATTGTCTGGAAAAGTCTGTAAATCTCTTGAAACGTCTGGAAAAGGCCTGAAAACTTCTTGAAAGGGTCGGAAAAGGTTCCAAAAGATCTGGGGATCATTTTCCAGAATCCGGATCAGTTTGTACAAGTCTGGATAAATCTGGATTAAATCTTTAAAACTCTGGAAAGCTCTGAATAAGTCTGGATAATGTCTGCAAAAGTCTGGAAATCTCTGGGGCGAATTCAGGAATGACACACTCAGTGTGAGTATGACACCGGTGCGGTGCGACGCACTAGCCGTTCATAAATGATAAATGGTGCGCGCACTCTGTGCCGTTCAGAAAGTATTTCGGGCACACTCCAGGATGGGGATTCTAATTGCTCGAAGTCGAAGGATGCGACTCAGAAATAACGTTGTTGTTGCCTATATGAGACGCTCGACTCGTGTCGACTAGTGAAATTGTAATCCGGCTGCAGGTTTCGCACCGGTCACATCATAATTTTTTGATTGTGTCTTTATGTCAACAATGTCAACCATTCCTCCCATAATCTCAATAATCCCACAAAATAAAGGGTGACTCAGAGTAAATTTCCCTTTTTAACATGTTATAAAAACAAAATAAAACGTGTTGGGGCAATTTAAATAATAAATTTTGGAAGTACAGGAATGCGGATTTTATTATTTAAACAGAATGTTATCCAAATGTCAACCATCCCTCGCATAGCACTCCTCCAATGATGTTCTTAAATGTTGGAAGACTGGCTGACACATTTCAATAGGAACGTTGGAAATGGTCTCTCGAATGTTCCATTTTAACTGTTCCATAGTGGCTGGGGGATCGGGGTAGGTAGACGATACTCTCTAAATATCCCCACAAAAAAAAGTCTAGGGGCGTAAGATCTGGTAATCTTGGTGGAAAAACGATGCTCCCATTTTTCGAGATTACAGTTCCTCATAGGAATCGTTCGATTTGAAAAACGCTTCGACCATAAAGGCGCGTTGCTCGTTCGACCACAATTCCATTTTTACTGGAAATCCGCACTCATTCGCCGCAAATTACCAGCGCTATCCCCCCCACAAGTATTAAGTTGGATGTACAGGGCGCTATTAAAAAGGGAAATTTACTTTGAGTCACCCTGTATAAACAAAACACAAGTAAGAATTAAAGTTTTTTCTTCAAAATAAAAAAATGAATAACAAAATAATGCATCGAACTGAAAAGTGACAAATAAATATAGTTTATGTCCGATTGACCAATAAAGTGCTATTTATGGAACAGTTTTGCGTCAATAAAGTAGCACTTTATTGTACTAATAAAATAAAGTGCTACTTTATTTTACTAGTAAAATAAAGTGCTACTTTATTGCTTACCTAGACTACCTTACAAGGTAAAACAGGTCCTGAGAACCTGCCAAGGTGAAACAGGTATACCTACGCGAATTTTACTTTTTTTATTAAATTTTTTTAATTTTTAACAAAAACCAGTCGCAATCGTACATAAAATCATGTATTTAACGCTTACATAAAGAGGCTTTATTGACTCATTATTTAATAGCCTCGCTCGCAAGCTCGCTCGGCCATAAAATTATTCGTACAATAAAGCCTTACTTTATGTACTTGTTATATAAATAGCTATTAAAAAAACTAAAAAACACGCTTTTATAGTAAATTGAACTAAAAAGTGGAAAATAATTTTAAATATAAACAGAAAATGACAAAAATCAATATTTTCATAATAAGGATTTGGCAAGTAGCTGAGTGAGTATTATTTAATTTTTTTTTTGAATGTTTAGTGCAAAAATGTCATTGAGTGCAATTTACAAATTATTAAAACGGCACATTTTTAATTTTTACTAGGAAAGAAACAGATGGAAATAAATAAATTTTTGGCAAAAAAAACCTTTCAAATTACCAGTTTTATTTACATTTATATCATGGCAGAGATAATATCTGTACAATGTTGTCACGTTGTTGACATTTTCCTAAATTTAAATTCTGCGATAACTCCGAAAATACTAAGGACAGTTTTGGCTTGAAATTGGCCGTATTATTTCATGTTAAAATATTTGTACTCCTCATACCTAGTATATGATTCTATTCGTTTTCAGCTATTAATGAAAACTTGCACAATTTATTGTAGTTTTTGTTATTACATTATTGACAAAGTTATGTCAGTTTTAATATTATCTACATATTTCCTAAATTGTGCTGCTAATTTTTCACCCATTTACGATTTTGCAGTCTAATTTGTCGAAAATGTGTAAATGACGCATCAATTTTTTTCAGGTAAGGTAATGGGGAATGGAATAATTTTTTATAATAAAAAAAATATATTTACATTTATTGACTAGACAAAATTTAAGTATAAATTTTACAAAATCGTTTTCTTTGTGTAAATGTCTACACACTTTATAATGATTATCGATTATCCATGTCTCATTATTGGTTAAAAGCTTAAATGGAATTTCTAAAAATTGAGCATAAGAAAAATGTTAAAAAACAATAGTTTTACTTGTAACTTTATGGGTGGGTATTATAAAACTACTTTGAGAATTAACTTAAAGTTAACTTCTGGAATTACATGTAATTCAAAAAGTTAACTTCAAGTTAACTGTCAAAGCAGTTTTATAATACCCACACCCAATAGTTTTTATGTAGATACCTTTTTTAATAGTTTGCAAACTGTTGAAGACCTTTGTGGAAGCAGACTTATTTTTAGCTGCATTAATATTTTTCTAGTAGGTATATTACATATTTCTATTTTATATTTCATCTTCATTTTTCTTTCACTCATATAAATTGAGCCTACTTTCTATCTGTGGAATGCGAAATGATGTTAGACCTTGCATTTTATAAAAAAAATAATTCTCAAACGAACTACGACTGAAAGTAACATAAAATATTGAACATAAACTTAAAAATAAGTAAATTTGCATTGAAAAGATATAACTCAGTCCAAATTAGCCAATAAAACGGAAATTAGAATTTTCAATACCGATTCAAATACTCAGTCAATCCAGCCTGTTCGATCATCTTATAAAACATTCCACCCTTATCACTCAACAACTTACTGGGCGAATCGAACTCTTTGATCGCACCCCTATCCAGCACCATGATTTTGTCCGAATCAATGATCGTGTGCAATCGATGCGCTATCGAAAATATTGTACAGCCAGCGAAGTTTTCTTTGATGACATCGTGAAGCATCGCGTCAGTTTCCGGATCCATGTTTGCTGTCGCCTCATCTAACACGACGATTCTGTTTCTACGGATGATGGCTCTGGCCAAGCATATCAGTTGTCTTTGGCCAGAGCTTAAAGCTGGAGCGTTTTCGTTTATCGGCATTTCCAGAGTTTGTATGCTTTGCTTTAGATGCACCTTGGCTAAGAGTTTCCAAATTTCCTCATCAGTGTATAAATTATATGGATCGATGTTACTTCTCACAGTTCCAGTGAACAGAACAGGATCCTGCGGGATAATGGCGACGCTTTGCCTTAAATACTCTATGGACAAGTGTTGGATGTTGACGCCGTCAATCAAAATGGTGCCTTCTACTTCGTATAAACGAAACAAAGTAGAAATTATCGAAGATTTTCCTGCTCCGGTACGACCGCAAATGCCGATTTTCTGCCCTGGCATGACGTCGAAGGTCAAATTTTTCAGTACCATTTCTTTGCCGTACGTTAAACTGACGTTGTCGTACTTGATACGGCCCTCGGTCGGCCAGTTGTCGATTTTGGTGCCTTGTTTTCGTTCCTGGGGCAATTCGGTGTATTCTAGCGCGCGTTCCACTGACGTCATGTAGTTTTCGAGATCTGCCCAGTTGCGCACGCCCCACTGGACGGTACCGGCTAGCATGAAGACTTGCGTGATGACCAAGCCGACGTTTCCCGCGCTGGTATCTAAAGAAAAATCTATTTACATCATCTGACTTTATTCGACTGTTAGTAATTTATTAGGTAAATAAGTGGAAAATTAGACATAGAAATGTTTTACTATTGTTACTATATTGACAAGTATAATGAGCGTCAACGTTGTTGTTGGGTTTTCAAGTCCAAAATCTCTACAAATGTTTTGTAGATAAAGAAGTTCCGGAGCTGTTAATGCACTAGCTCAATATTCAGATTTGAAGCTAGATTCTGCCACATTTTGCCACTTTGATATCCATGAAATCAAATTTCTGTTATAAAACACTGCACATCCACATCATAATTTCGTCTCCTCTCCAATGTGCGTCACTGTATGCAAAATGTTTTTGTATTTGATTCATAAATCAGAGCCAAGTTAATTGTTTGTTTGAGAAATTTTAGTATCATCCTCTTTGCTGTTGTCCATAGTCATAGTTATTGTTATTTAGGCTTGTCAAGGTATCCACTGAGATATATTACAGAAAATGATATATCAGGTCTGCTGATTGTTGCCACATAATAATGACTCTTATCAGTTCTCGATATGGTACACTGGTGTCAACTTCTTGTAGGTATTTGAATTTGGTTCCATTGGAGTTATATAAATTTACATTGTTCTAAATTGAATTTACCATGCATTTTCTTGATTAAAGTCAGTTGACTAATGCATTTCTAATCATTTTTGTGCATTATTTCCATACCAAGAAAGTTATTAAGTTTTCTTAAGTCTTTAGCATTGAATTCCACTTCCAATGTCTTTTATAGTTATTTCTATTGCAAGTGCGTTTATGAACATGATTACAATAACGAGTGTGAAAGATTTTAATCACACAAGTTTTGTACTTATGTTTTAAACGCACGTGTGATGCAGAACGTTTTATCTACAAAGCGAAAAATAAGAAAATGTTTTTTTTTTTTTTTCAATTTTCGTTTATTAGTAGTTGTCTTCTTTGGTTATGGTCCGAATATAACCAAACGTTAACCAAAGTAACCGAATCGGTTGACAGATGGTTACTGAAAATTCCGGTTACTTGAGGAACGCAAATAGGAAATAAAAAATAATTGTTAGAAATTACAGATAAAACCGACAGAACCGACATTCGATGGCGGGTAACTATTTTGACATTTGGTTAACCAGATTTTAGAAAGCCGAGGTCCACAAGTAACCACTTTTCCAGGAACCAGAGTAATTTGATTACTTTCGGACTGCGAAACCACAACCTTGGTTATATTCGGACCACAGCCTTTCAGTTTACGTTTATAAGATCTACTATGACATTTGTCAACTCACCAAAAACTAGTTGTGTTATAGGTTCATAACCTAGTTCATAACACCACTAGTTGTGTTATGAGTCTCATAACATAACTCAAATACTAGAAAAATGGGTATGTATAAACGTCATAACCGCGCGCGTTAATTCAACGTTTATGTTATGTACGTCAATTCGTCGTAAAGTCAATTTCTAATATAAGTCAATTTGTCTTAAAGTAACGTCAACTAGTTTACATTGTTGGTAAAATGGGTCAAACATCCCTGTCGGTGTAAAAGCAACTGAATCTTATGCATCATTGGTAACTCATGTGGTACCTAGCCAACGTGTTAATAGTTTGAACCAAACTGACCGATAATAACCCGGCTAGTTTTAGTTTGGATTATATTAGAATTGCAAACTAACACAAACTGTAACAAAATCAATAACAAATTTATATTCTCGGTTCAAATTCATTATTCGTCGGAAAAGTTTTGATGAAATTTACAAACACATGGAGTTCTGCGAAAGGTTTAATCTGTTCGAGGGTAAAAAGCACTCGAGCAAGAAAAGTATCGAATTTTATACCTTTAGGATTATTACTGCTGTAATCCAAAATTGACAAATATATGGGCAAAATTTATGTTTTCCGAGATAAACACTAAACTTTAAACTAATCTCTCGACTAAACCAGACCCATGTGGTTGTAATAATTTATTCAAAGTCAAGAATAATCTCTCACCCACGTTTTATAACGAATCCAGATGTCAGAATGATATATTTTATTCGAAGCATATGTGTGTGTAGAGAAACAATAATTACATGAGCTGGATTTTTAAGATGCAATAACCAATTGTAGGAGTGATTACTCGGTGATAGATCACTTTAGGTCCCTTTGATTTTAAATATGATTTTGATTATTACTGATAAACAAAGCAATTTCAAGATGGTTAGCGAGAAAAAAAATATGAATCCTTGAATATTTATCAAGATGATTTTTTTGATTTAATTTTTTTCTTTGTTGATTGTGCATCTTTGATAGGTATTATAGCGATATTAAGCTGATAAGAATAGATATTATTTATTGATCTGTGTCAAAGGTTGAGAAGCGAGAGGATATAAGGCATTAGTGACTAGTGATTTTACAATTATTATTATTTTGTTCATTTATTTCGTTTATTTTAATAGATTTCTATTGGTAAATATTTACAATATTTGATGTTTATGGAAAGGGTTTTTTAATGATTTTATTGATTTTTTACTGACATTTTAAAAATTCCTACCTAATTTGTGATTAGTTTCCATAATTAACTTAGTAGTTGTCTATTAATGACCTGACGGTGCAATCTTTGCATTGAAGTAAATGGTCAACATTTTGAACAATTATTGTAAAACATAATTTATTTGTTAAAAAATAAGCAAAATTAATAAGTAAACAGTGATTTAAGTATTGTGAAGAATAAAAGTACCAAAAAATGTTTTGCTTCACAGCCCAAATGGCTCATTTGCGGACATAATATGTTTATATAAACAAAAATGCTTGTTTTTTGTTTTGATGTCCCTTACTACCCTTTTAAGTTTGTCGGTATCTTTTTAGGACACCCTGTATATTTAAATAAAATATTGTTTATCAAAAAAATGAACTCATCCATATTTTTTTTTCTTCATTATGTCCTAATAATTGCTCCAATGCAAATTTGAACATAGAAAAATTGTCCGTTTTTAGGGACCTAATGTGTTCTAGACCCTATTTCACACCCTGGTTAATTAGGATAGAATTTATGGAACTTTTATTCTATATATTTAATTAGGATAGAAATTAGGGAACCATTATTTTATACATTCAATTAGGTAATTCGAAAAGGGAAAGATTTTCAATTAAAAAGGAAAACAGTAAATGTTCAATTAATAATTTGACAACATGTAAGTAGCGAGCTCTGTTGGAGAGCCATCGAACTGGATCACAGGGTTGAGCACTTTGGATGGGAAAAGTTGGATAAACTTGAAAACCAAAAGAAACACGGCAAAAACCAAGGGGTACTTTCAGCGAATCGCGAAGGTGGAGATCTTCGAATCTCGCAAGCCCGGTACTGAGAGGAGCCAATGGGCTTCTAAAGTGGTACCCAGAGGGTGGTTCCTTTCGCTTATTTAAGCAGATGTAGAGGCCACATAACTTCAGTTATCGCCACTAGATTTTACCATGAGTAATCGCCGGAAAATTAAGTCGCAAAGTTTCAACGAGTTCTCGATCCGTTCCTCATCCGCTAGTTCATCTGCCGCCCGCGGTGTTTTAGTTCTCCAAAGAGGTGATAGTTATTTTTTTTTTTAATTCCCAATAAAGTTTCAGATTTTGAATTAAACTTTTTAATTGGGAAATTGTTCTCTTTTCTTTCAATTATCTTAATTTTTCTTCAGTTGAAACTTGTTGATGGTCTATTAATTAAATAAGGTATTTTAGTTTTTTTTAATTTTACCTTACCTTTTTTTTATCTTTAAATAATTAACTTTTCTTTTCACTCTTAAATAAACATAATTTTATTCTTTTAAAATTAGTATTTTCTTTTCTGGTTTTAAAATTCCCATTAAAACACTAGTGGTGGCGTAAAAAGATCTCACGTGCTGGTTTGTGCGGTTAGAGAAGGTGTTTCTAGCTTCAGCAGAAAAGCGGTAAGTGGTACTAATTTTAAGTCTCTATTAACACCTTTCAATAACCACTCCAAGAAGAGAAGAAAGAGGATTTCGTTCAGATTGCCTCCGGTTCAGAAAACTGTTATTTACTGCTTCAAATCAAATTTACTTCTCAACATAATTTACCACGAAATTTTAAGATGTGACAGAATTATTCACGCTACCAAAATATCGATACATAACATCTCAATTTTGTCACAAAACTAACCGGATTAATATCGGTTATACAACTCACTGTACGTTATTCCCATATGACACGAGAGGCTTAACAAGTGATAAGCCTTTTGGGATTATCGCGCTTGGTAGCATTTATGGCAAATTCCATTATAGATTTTTTTTTAAATTTTAAAGTATTAAAGTTTAGTTCATTGTATAACCTTTTGAATACCACTCGAGGCTTCAGGATTACCTAATACTTTTACCTGACACTCAACGCGTTACCGGCAACACCACTGAGTCATGGTGTTGCTGCGTAACGCGTTTCGTGACAGGTAAAAGTATTATCCGGTAATCCTGAAACCTCTTGTGGTATTACATTCGATAAGTTTGGTAATCTCTGATTAAACAGAAAAACTGCAAATTTATACATTTTAACATTATAACATTATACCATGTATACGAAAAATTGACGTACTTCAACTACGACGAATTGACGTATACGACAATATAGGTAATTCGTCGTTATTATCGGTTATCATTGGTAATATCTAATGAATAAACAGAAAAAGTGCAAATTTATACATTTCAACATTATTGAAATACGACGAATTCACGTATGCGATAAATTAACGTGTTGATAGTATGCAATTTCAATCAAAAATTATCCAACTTACCGATAGTAATCCGGCTAGTTTGCAAACGTAAATTTATACACTTTAACATTATATTTGAAATACGACGAATAGACGTACCTATACTTTAGAATTATGGCTACGACGAGTTAGCGTGTATACGACGAACTCGCGCGTTCCTACTCCTTATGCCTTTACCTGCTCTAAATTCAAAATACTATTCCGTACACCTGGCGACATCTATGATTTTCTGACTAGTTTCCTAACCTAATACCGAAAATTATTTTATTGAAAGGTGGTTTCGGTTTGCTCACTCTGTACACTTCGAGTGACTCCATTCGCACTCCAGCTGTTCGGGTACTGCTTTTTACCATATTAGGGTTAGTTTTATTCACTCCACTCCAACGCCGAACCTGGCTGGGGTTGTTTTTTGAAAACCGGTAGCGCTGTCATTTTTATAATTTCGACAGGCTTGACAGTGGAAGAAAGACAGAACCACAGGGGTACTTTTGAGTCTTTTGACCACAGAACATATCACCTCTAGAAAAGTATCTACAATGTTATGTACCGGTTATGAATTAGAGCGCCATCGTTGAATGAAAACCCAACTAATCGAACATTCTTGACAAAAAGGCGAATTGATTTTTTTCATATATTTTTATTATTTTTAAATAATTTTTAATGTTCAACTGCTTGGCTTGCTGACTCCTTTTAGCTCTTTTCGCCTCATTTTTTTGAAAACTATATGACTGGCAGGAAGTTTCCGATGTCGATCATAGTGCAAAAAGAGTTAGTAAGTTAGCAAGAGACACGCAGCTAAAGGTAGATCGCAAAGTAAATACGAATAATAAATACAAATACGAACGAAACAAAACAAACGAGTGAATACAAAAAAATACGAACAAAAATAAGGGTTTTTTTCAATCAAAACTTTTTGAATTTTCACATTAATGCGCGTGGGGACTATGGTTTACAACACAATTTAAAAATTCAAATTTTGACTTTTAAAATGACAAAATAAATGACAAAACCAACCAACACAAATCACTGTCCACACCACAGATACCTGTAAATTTCTCTTATCTCCCGACAGTGTCGCCATCGTTGAATGAAAACTTGACTTTTCTTTTCGATTTTATAGTTAGACTGAAAAGGTCGTCCGAGAAATCTAAAAATTTTGGTTTTTATTCTTGGCCATCGAGCCCAAAATTGGATAAGTTTAACTAGCCAGAGGAGTGAGTAGTTGTGCCAGCTGGAACGTTTCCTGAAAAATCAATAGATTGTTGATTTTTGTGTAAATTTCTGAAAGTGAGGTTATTATCGGCCGTTGAGGTATGTAAACCCTTTTTCCCTTTGATAAATGAGTCCCTATATTTCTTAATTCCGTTCAGGGAATTTGGGAGAGTTTTAAAAATCCACGCCTACACTTCTGGGTGAAAATTTGACGAAGTTGAGACCATACGGTACTGCATTTCCAAAGCAAGTCTGAGCCCCCTCTACAAGGAAAGTTGTGTTTTGTAAGAGATTGATCCCCGACCATTGGATGATTGCCTTCGTCAGTTTGGTGCTCCTGGATCTCAAATTCATGAAAATTTCCACGGATTTCGTCCAGGCTTGTATAATTACTTACCTAGGGGTCCCGTAACTGTGCCTTAATAATTACCGTTACCTATTATTATTTTTTTTCCCGCTCCCTGTCGATTACCTTTATTAGCTAATTATTATCAATAGTAATATAACTAGTGCAATGGAAATTATTGATAATTTTTTTTTTTATTAAAATTATAAATTATAAATATATTTCCATTGCACGAGTTGTATTTAATGAGAGAATTTCATAAATCAAAAATTTAAATTTTTTGTCAAAAAATGTCAAAACACCAGTTTTCGCACCAGTTAGTATGCAATTATCTGATAATTTGCACTAGTGCAAATTATCGCGTAATTACAATCTGATTGGTTCAAATCAACAATCAAAACATGTCAATTCATTGTTGGAATACCAGTTTTGACAGATGTATGAAATTCTCTTTATAATATCAATTACTGTTAATTATTATTATCTATTCCTAATCGCTTACTATCGATTAGCTTAATTAGCTAATTCATAACTGTATAAAACCAATAGACCTATCTATTTTTACTTGGTATGCGAGCGCAACACGAGGCAATGTCTTTTTATTGGCTAGCTAATACAGGTGTGAGGTGATCGTTTTGCACGCTGGGCATCTCTTTTTCCTTGTTCATTGCACGTGATCTGACAAGAATAAATCTAAAGTTGATATTCAATTTGACAAGTGTCATTAAAAAGTTGTTTGATATTTTCATTGACAAATACGTTGCACAACACGCGGTTTTTCTCCTTCTCTTTTTATCCTGTACAGATAAGAAGGACGGATTGCTATATGTAAGTCTAACATAATTTGGTACGTTTTGCCTCGTCTTGCGCAATGAGCGTTCTGTGTCTTTTTTTATTTAATGAAGTTTTAGTATTATTACCTCTTTGTCTGGTAAAATAGATAGGTCTATTACCGACTCATTTACCGTATTTGTACTATTTAGCTAGAATAGCTAACTACAAATTAAATATAATTATCCATTCAATTAATTATCATAATTAGATTTTTACTTTTATTATTGTTTTCTCAATAATTATTTATTTTCAATAAGTATGCATTATTACAATTATTATAAATTTTGTTTCCTCTATATCGAGTATTGATCGATATAATATGGGTGGGTTCATTAATCTTTAAAAGGTTGATTTAACTTCTGATTTCAAATCAATAATGTGGTAGTTTTACAAGGGTTACTAATGTAAAATCTTTAGGTAGTCAAATTTAAGTTTTATGGTTACCTATTTGAACTTTAAAGGTAAGAAGGTAAGAGCTCTTCCGGAAACCGTGAAGCCTTGATTTCATGTAGCAGGTTTTTGATATTTATAACTGCCTAAGGTTTATTTATTACCTTTCTGCATTGAATAAATTGTTTTCTCTTGATTTGATTGACTTTGGGTCAGAAATTAAAGGTTAATGATATTGTGACTCCATCATTTGTACTTAGGAAAATTTCATAGTAGGTATGTATTAATTGTTTTTGAATTTGAATCCTACTATACTTATTTAAATTAGGTTTTGCTTTTAGAAAGCTGCTTAATGATTTTTTTTTAAAAACTTGGATACTAGACACTATTTTTCTTAGAACCATAGAAAAATGTTCGCCATATTGTCTCAAATTTTAATGACATCTAATTAATAAATAATTGTGTTCAGAATTCCAAAGCTTGTGTTTTTGTTGAATGAGTTAATTGTCAGATAGCTATTGGATTTTGGATTTATTTTACCTTTTCAGATTTTTCTGAATTTATCTTTTTAAACAATAACTCATTAATGGAATAGTGCCTAGTTTGGCTATTCCTTGGTAATCAAAATTATTTATACAAACTAGTGGCGCCCTCTCTCTACTGTACCAATACCAAGGACCACCCCAAGCTAAACTACCACTGATCAATAGTCGAGCACAAATTATGAACATTCTTTTGTTTCGACAAAAGAGCGTTACACAGCAACCTGTGGATCTTCCAGTTTCAATTTCGCACACCCTGTATATTCACTGGATCATACAAATAATAAATATTTAACAGACTGTCTATTTCTTTCCGAAAACCCTTTGAAGCTATTAATGGGCAGTTTGTAGTGTAAATAGTACAAGGTCCGAGTCTATTGTCATAATTTCAAATAAGTCGATCACAAGCTTACCAGTTTCAAAAAACAAGAACCTGACAACAACCAATATGATTAAAATCGAGCAGAGAAAATCCAGAGTGAATCCAAAAGCTCTAGAAGTACACGTCAACATGTAATGGGCTGACGTGTAAAGATCCTGATGCCGATCAAACTCTTGTTTCAGAATGTCTTCCGCCTTGTAGGCTCTTATAGTGGTAAGACCTTCTAGGGAGGCGTTCAAATGACCAACCAAAGGACTGCGCGCTATAGAAAAAAAGACAAAATAGATTTTTTTTTAGCAGTAGTAAAGACGAAACTTACTTGCTGCTTCAAGTCGCTTCAAGCTACGTCCGGTGGGCATGTAAAGGCGTCTTACCACATAAGTAAGCGCAAAAAAAATACAGCCCGGTATCAAAAAACGCCAATTGACTATCGATATGTTGACGTAGATGCCGATAATTTGAACTGTAACCTTAAAATAGCAAGAATTTTACTATATACTTATAATAAATTATTACTGTAACTCACCCTGAAAGCTTCAGTCAAACAATATGGTAAAAACTCGTCAACATTAATCAAATCCTGCGAAAATCTGTTCAAAACGTTGCCAATGAAATTCGTATCGAAAAACGACATTACAGCATTGATCACTGTAGACGACATGACTTTGTGGAGCTTAATCGAAGCGCGTCTACAAAAATCGAAGAGCATGTATGATCTGCTCAACACTAGTGCTGTAGATAGGAAAAGCGTAATCGAATAGAGCTTGATGTAAAGATTTTTTTGGGCCACGGTTTCTTCAAATAATAAAGTGCCAGTTTGATTGGCTATTTTTAGGTCCACTTCTTTTTGTTGAGCATCAATCCTGTAAATCAGTTTGTCATTTGATTCAATAATAAAAATTCTATTATTTATCTACTTACCACATGGCAATGAACTTATCCGAAGCAGTTTCAGCACCCTGGCCAGCCATAAACAGAAAAACTACCAAAAGAAACAAACAGAAACCACCTCCAAATTTGAAGTATTTGCCGTAAACCGTGAAACTAACATCACCCTTTTTGGTGACCTCTTGATAAATCTTTTGCGTGTTAGTTTGCTCAGTTTCCAAAAGCTCTCCAGTTTCATCATCATCAAAATCATTTTCAACAGCTTTAATTTTAGCCAAATCAGTATCATCGATTACTTCTTTTTCCATTTCATCATTTTTGCCAACTAATTTTGCTATCTCTTCCATAGAAATCTCTTGAGCAGGCTTACCAGATGAACGTATTTTCGAGTTTGCCATGATGATGACATTATCAGCATCCTGAATGTGGTGTACAGTTTGCGTGACCAAAACCACAATTTTGCTTTTCAAAAACTTCCTGATACACTCGTTGAAAATGTGATCCTGCACGTGCGCATCCAAAGCGGTCAACGAGTCATCCAACAAGTAAATTTCGCTTTCCTTGTAAACGGCTCTGGCCAAATTGACTCTGGCTTGTTGGCCTTTACTTAGATTGATACCGTTGTCGGCCACAATAGTTTGGTCTCCGTTTTCAAGTAGATTCAAATCGTATCTGAGCGCGCATACTCTTACCACTTCCTGGTATCTAGCCTCGTTGTACTTTTCGCCGAATAAGATGTTTTGCTTGATTGAAGAAGGAAATAACCAAGGATCTTGGGAAGCGTAAGAGATTCTGCCATAGGTTGCCACAAATCCGCTTTCTAATGGGTAATCTTGCAGTAGGGCTTTTAATAAAGAGCTTTTGCCAGAGCCAACGCTTCCAGTCACAATATTAAGGCCATTATTGATTAATAAACTCACATCTTGTAAGGCCAAACGTTTATTGATAGCTACAGTGGCATTTTTCAGTTGTAATTTCGGATGTTCAGTGGCTTCGTCATGAGCATTATCTCTACAAAGTTCTTCGGCTTTCAGAACTCTGTTAATTCTTATTGTCGCTGCCAGTAGTTCAGCAGCTCTGCCCATGCCGATGGGGATGGCAACTCCCAAGAGATAGCGCAAGTTGTTGAACAAATTCGACACGTAAAAGATTAGTTGGGCGTCTGGGATGTAGCCGATCCAGATGTAGGTCATGATGAGGACGTAAAAGCCCAATTTGGTGGCTATGATGCCTAGGACTATGATAATGGTTTTCAGGAAAAATGATATGCGCATGACGTTGATTTCTTCTCTGGAAAACATTTAAATTATTGTTCTTTTGTAATTTTATGTGACTAATGTGTCCTATATCTCAGTGTTGGATAAAATAACTATTAGGTACCTACTACACTGACAAATCACAGAGAATTATTATAGGCTTTTCATAAAATGAAGAATTTACTTGCTCGCATTTCTTTTATTTCCAATTTCTTATTTTTTAACATTAAGCAAGTTTCAAATTAGCCCAAAGTTCAAGGATTTTCAACATAATTATTTCTCTACAAATTGAGCATTCGGCTTGATTCCTTTCAACTATTTTGTGTGGTTTAACTAAAAAGGAGCATCCGGTTCATCACCCCTTATTAAATTAATCAATATTAGATGCTTTGTTATTTAAGTTATCTAACTGTTAACGTAACTATAATTTTACCATTATGTTATTTATTCTTGTGTCTTAATTTCTTTGAGAGGGGTCAGACAAATTCACTAGGTATTGTGACGTCAGCGTGACTACTTACTTTCTCCTATTGTTCACTTGATCATTAAAAAACTTTTCCCATGTATACAGCTTGATGATTTTAATCGATGACAAAATCTCCTGAGTGATTTGCAATCGTTCGTCCGTCTTTTTGCCAATACGCAAGCGCAAATTGGTAATCCACTTGCCCAAATAGACTAAAAAAACACTAATTATTATTATTTACTGATGGTTGATGAAATAAACAATAGAGGGGTGTAAAAATGATATTATTATAGATTAAGTTTTTCTGTACTATTTCTCACTTTAAGCTAGAATAGCGGTACCGTAATCGAGCGATCGTAATGTGGCGGCCAACAAATACCTAGTTTGTTATAAGTACCTACGTTATTTTGTTATTGCAACTGGCTTGAATTTGCTCCCGATTGGTCTTTGTTATCTTGTGCTTAACTTTTACAATTGTAACTGAGAAACAGTTGGATGTATTTTGGAAACTGTCAAATGTAGTTGAGAATGCGTTAATTGTAATCGAGAATGGTCAAATGTAATTGAGCAACCGTTAAGTGTAATTGAGAAAACGTTAAATGTAATTGTGGATGAGTGAATTAAGATACAGAGTGATCAATATTTCATTATTCTCGGCTGCCTTTTTCCATTAATGGAGCGTTAATCCTTTAGGTCTTGTAAAATTATATCTGGCATCGCGTTTTCTATTAGGCCAGCGCACATTGTCTACCTCTACATGGAGCGCTAATCATATAGGATTTGTTAAATTATATCTGACGACTCTGACGTCACGTTTCCTATCAGACCAGCGCACACCCTCCGCGATCGTCTGTTGACATCCATTGCACTTTGCACTGCAATCCATAAATGACAGAAAAATCATATGTAAAAAATAGTAAAAACTCAAAGCGATTAAGATACTAAATAATGATGTTTTTTGAAATAGAATTTTTCCTACAGCCGTGTGGGAAAATCGATTTTCCGCACGACTGTCAGTGCGGAAAAAATTCTACCGCACTGATGTGTCAAAAAAAAAAGAAAAATTTTACATTTTTACGCCTGTAGGAAAATTATTGTGCCTAAAACACTTGGGAAAAAATTCATTTTCCGCACTTGTTAGGTAAATAGCTACCTATTACAAACAATTTTTTCACTCAAAAACTAAAGTGTGTGAAATATTAAAATTTTGAGGACTTTTCCTAAAGGTTCAATGTAAAAAATACTAAAAACCCAAAGCGATTGAGTTATTATTAATGGAGTTATGATTTCTTTAAAATTATGATGTTTTGTAAAGTGAAACTTCAAAAACAATTTTATTTGTCACTCATTTGTGAAACGTCATTTATCAAGTCAAAATATAAACAACGAAAATTGATTTTTAACAGTTACTGACTTGTAAAATTGACAGCTAAACTGTGAAAACTTTTTACCTACGAGCGTGCGGTAAAGTGCACTTTACCGCACGTATTTGCAAATGGAAAGTATCACTTTACCGCACACTATGCGGTAAAGTGCACTTTACCGCATAGTGTACGGTAAAGTTAACTTTACAGCATAGTATGCGGTAAAGTAGAATACAAAGTGTGCGGTAAAGGGCACTTTACCGCATAGTGTGCGGTAAAGTAGAATTTGATATTTATAATCAAAAATCCTCTCTTTTTCAGAAAATGGATTTTTGATCATTTCTAAATCTTATCTAATTTCATTAATTAATCGGATTCATTAATTAATTTTATCAATGCCTTTTTTTGGAGATGTAGATGCTCATAGGTAAAATTTTGTACCTAACACATGCGGAAAGTGCCTTTACCGCCCTTAAAGTGTCAAAGTATATTGTTACGTGGAATAAATTATTGCTGTGTTAATTGGACTTTGATTTTTGGAATAAACGAAACGAACCCAAGATTTTTGTCTGCAGGCAACCCAAAGCCGCGACAAGTGGTGTCAGGAGTGAGATTTAAAGGACTGCAGAGTGAAATCCAATTACGGAAGTGCGGGAACACTAGTGTAGTATAAAAACTGAACACTAAGTGAACACTGGGACAGTTAGTGCAGTGCAAACAGTGACAATCACAAAAAGAGACTTAACCGATCGTGTGAATTACCCCGGAAGTGACTCTATACCTGATTTAGACTGTGATAGTGAATCTTCGAGTGAGATCTAGAAAATTCTATTTGGAAACTAAGGGAGATATCGAATTTGTGACTTCGCCGACGTATTCGGAACATCAATCGTCATTCAGAAGAGGTTTTTCGAGGAGTTTCGGGAAAATTCTAGAACATTCTATTTGGAAACCAAGGGAGATATCGAAATTGTGACTTCACCGGCGTGTTTGGAACTTCGAGCAAAGACCAGAAAAGATATTTGAAGAAAGTTCGAGGGAAATTCTAGAACATTCTGTATATGCCTATCACAAGACAACAAGCCAAAATGGATGAACAAAAAGTTGAAGAACTCCTGCGCAAAATGTTGGAACTTCAAGAGACCAAACGACAACAAGAAAAACAAGACGAAGAAGCCACACGACAACAAGAAAAACAAGACGAAGAAGCCAGGCGACAAAAAGAACGGCAAGAAGACCTTGAACAACTACAGAAAATATTTCAAAACATACACGGATTTGTCGCTAACCTAGAACAAAAGATTACGGAAGTAAAAGCCGAAGTTAAAGACGATGTTCGAGAAGTTAAAAACGACGTTCAGGAAGTAAAAGCTGTAGTCAAAGCCGATGTTCAAGAAGTTAAAGACGATATTCAGCAATTAAGACAAGAAGTGGAGGACCAAGTTCAAGCACTCGAAGGTGCGTAAATTAGAAATACAGTCCATCAATCCAGTTAGAGCATTCTCCAGTATGAAGATAAAACCACCAACTTTTGACAGTTCTACATCCTGGACCATGTATATTCGACAATTTGAACACCAATGGATGGAACGACCAAGAAAAAGCTACAGCACTTATTGTGGCGCTACGAGGACCTTCCTTAGATCTTCTTCAGTCCATTCCTTCAGTCTACCAACAGAATTACCAGCATCTAAGTCAAACTTTAGAACTGCGCTTCGGAGACCATTACAGACAAGAAGTATTCAGAACTCAAGTCAAATCAAGAGTTCAAAAACCCGGCGAGAGTCTACAAGAATTCGAATCGGAAGTTAAAAGGCTAGTGAGTTTGGCGTTTCCTGCAGCTGGGGAAGACATGCAGGATTGGATGGCAGTATCTGCGTTCATTGATGATCTCAGAGATTCGAAGATCCAGGAAAACCTAAGAATGTCCAAGTTCAGACAAAGTAGCGAAGCCCTAGTCCGAGCATTAGAACTGGAAGCAATCTTTGGTGCCTCACGACCCGGAATACGAGCAGTGTCCATTGAGGACCCAAAGGAAAAACAATTGTCAAAAGAGGATGGTAGCTTCGAAGCCAAAATGAGTAATTTCATGGAGAGAATAAAGAAACTGTTACTAGTAGATAGAAAAATGGGGAACGATTCCAGACAAACACCAACCCCGAGAAACCGAGTGAAATGCTACCGGTGCCAAAAACTTGGACACATGCAATGGGATTGTAGACTAAGGATGTCCTTTCCATCTGAGGATCATTCTCAACGCTTTTCAAGGTCTAGAGACGCCAGCCCTAAGGACAAACAGGAACTAACTAGTACGGAAGGGAGGATGCTGGCTAGTAATGACGAAGTCCCCAGAGTTGTTTACATAAAATCATTGGGCAGTCATTATAGAGGATTAAAATTCGAAGGACAAATCAATGGAGAATTGAAAACCATCACTTTTGATACGGGTGCTGAAGTTTCCATAATTAGAAGAACATTAGTCAAGTCTCGAGCAATCCAACCGCTCACTAGAAACCTGTTACTACGAACAGTCACCGGCGAATCTGCACCAGTTAGAGGAGAAGCGATGGTTGAGCTCACTTTTGGATCTACCACCTTCAGGCACAGAACACTAGTCGCCGATATAGAAGATGACTTTATTTTGGGAATGGATTTGATCGGCCAATATGGTTTCTCCTTTGATCCTTCCATGAACATCCTTAAATTTGGTAATGAAGAAATTGTCCTAACGACACAAGAAGAATCCGATGCTGTTAAGATCTTGGCCACAACCCCTGTGAGGATTCCTGGAAGTACTGAGAAGATCATTTGCGGAAAATTAGAAACAAACCCTGGGTGCTGCGTTAGGCTAACACGTAATTTCATTGGAGATAAACCAGAAAGATTTCTTGTTGGAAAGACTCTAGTAAGAACAAATGGAGACATTATGATAAGAATTGCCAATGTTTCTTCCGAAACAGTAAGAATAAAACAAGGAGACATTATTGGAGCTCTCGAACCAGTGAAGCAAATATCGAACTGTGACCTACCAGATAAGCGACGTTTTTTGAAATCCAAATTGGATACAGACACCTTGATGCAGACTTTGGCGAAATCATGGAAACATCTCGATCCAGATAGACTTCAAGAAGCCACAGATTTCATTTTGAAAGAAGCAGACGTATTTGTGATGGACAATCAAACCGGACGAACCAGCTTAATTCAACACAAAATTGATACTGGATTGGCACACCCAATTAGACAACCACCACGACGTATGCCAGTGGCTAAGCAACAGGAAGTGGAAAACCAAATTGATAAAATGCTTCAAGAGGGAATCATTGAAGAGTCAAATAGTCCATGATCTGCGCCAGTAGTATTGGTTACGAAGAAAGATGGGAGTCTTAGATTTTGTGTGGACTACCGAAAGCTTAATGACGTCACCAAGAAGGATAGTTTCCCTCTCCCAAGAATAGACGATACACTAACAACTCTATCGGGCTCCAAATGGTTTTCCACCTTGGATCTCAAAAGTGGATACTGGCAAGTGGCAATACATGACGATGACAAAGAGAAAACTGCCTTCAGTACCGGAAGCGGGCTATACCAGTTTAATGTAATGCCTTTCGGATTGTGTAATGCTCCAGCTACTTTTGAGCGACTGATGCATCTTGTTTTGCGAGGCCTTAAATGGAGAAGTTGCCTGATATATTTGGATGATGTCATGATTATGGGAAATTCGTTCCAAGAACATCTCAATAACCTGAAAGAAGTTTTTGACCGCTTCCGGAATGCCAATTTGAAACTCAATCCAAATAAGTGTTTCCTATTTCAAAAGAAAGTGGAATTTTTAGGTCACGTGGTATCTGAAGAGGGCATACAAGTTATGGAAGGAAAAATAGATGCTGTCAGGGACTGGCCAAAACCACGCGACAAACATGAACTAAGGAGTTTTCTAGGATTATGTTCTTATTATCGAAGATTTGTGGAAGGATTCGCCAATATAGCTGCTCCACTTCATCGATTAACAGAAGAAAAATCAACATTCAATTGGACCCAAGAATGCGATTCCGCATTTAGAAAATTGAAAGGAGCATTATGTATGTACAAGCCCAGTGTTGTCCTATCCTGATCACAAAGGCATGTTGATTTTGGACACAGATGCAAGTAACACCAATGTTGGAGCTGTCCTTTCACAAATCCAAAATTCACAAGAACATGTCGTGGAGTACTACAGCAGAACATTATCAAAGCCGGAACGAAATTATTGTGTCACCAGAAGAGAGTTGCTTGCCATAGTAAAAGCAGTCGACCATTTTCATAAGTATCTCTATGGACGCAAGTTTCTAATTCGAACAGATCACGCAGCTCTAAAATGGCTTTTAGAAATGAAAACTCCTGAAGGACAGCTTGCTAGATGGATTGAAAAATTGCAGCAATACGATTTCCAAATTAAACATCGACCTGGAAACCTGCATAAAAATGCTGACGCTCTGTCCAGACGGCCATGTAAAGAAGATTGCAAGCATTGTCAAAGAATCGATATACATGAGAAAAACACTAGTCCAGTTGTAAGAAGAACGGGCCTGATCGTCGATGACAAATGGACTACCAAACAAATGAGAGAAGATCAGGAGGCAGACCAGGACATCGGGCAAATTCTACATCTTAAAGAAAATGATGAATGTAGGCCAGAATGGGGGGAAGTGTCAAACAAAAGCTTGATTTACAAGGCGTTGTGGACCCAGTGGAACTCTGGCCGTAGAAAATGGTTTGCTCAAAAGAGTTTGGGAAAGTGCCGATGGGAAATCCACTAAGAGCCAACTGGTTATCCCAAAAGACCGAGTGGAAGATGTATTAAAAGAGATACACGACGGAACTTCAGGGGCACATTTCGGAGTTAACAAGACTTTGGACAAAATTCGGGAACGTTTTTATTGGGTTCACTACCATGAAGACGTTAAAAGCTGGTGCCGAAAATGCGACATCTGTGCTACCAGTAAAGGCCCTAAATTAACATTTCGGGGGCCCATGAAACAGTACAACGTCGGTCTCCCATTTGAAAGAATAGCGATAGATGTTGCTGGACCGTTCCCAGAGTCAGAGCGTGGTAACAAATACATCTTAGTTATCATGGATTACTTCAGTAAAGGGCCAGAAGTTTTCGCTATTCCCAATCAAGAAGCCATCACTGTTGCCCAGGTGCTAGTGGACGAAGTTTTTAGTCGTCATGGTGTGCCACTAGAGTTACATTCAGACCAGGGACGAAACTTCGAATTTGCCATCTTTAAGAAAATTTGTGAGATCATGGGAATCCGTAAGACTAGGACAACACCTTTACACCCTCAGTCTGATGGTATGGTGCAACGATTCAATAAGACCATAGAGGAACACCTGACAAAAGTAGTCGCAAAGAACCAACGAGATTGGGACAAGCATTTGCCTCTATTTTTAATGGCTTACAGAGCGGCTGTTCACGATTCAACAGGTGAAAGTCCGGCTAGAATTGTTTTTGGAAGGGAACTCAGGCTACCTTGCGATCTGATGTTTGGAGTACCCGAAGAAGAACGAAGAGAAATCCGAGATTATGCCGACGAAGTAAGGACACGACTTCTGGGTATCTATGATTTTGCTCGGGAGCATATTCAAGTAGCCAAGGACCGAATGAAGACCAGATACGACTTGAAAGCCAATTCGGTCGGATTTCAAGAAGGTGATTTAGTGTGGCTGTATAACCCAGCTAGAAAGAAAGGAGTATCGCCGAAGTTGTCTTCAGCGTGGGAGGGACCCTACAAAATAATCAAGAGGATCAATGATTTGGTTTATCGAGTCCAGCGCAACACCAGGAGTAAGATGAAAGTTGTACATCTGGACAGGTTGGCGAAATATCATCGGCGTGAAGTTGATCGGGACGATCAACCTTAAGAGGAGGGCAGTGCTACGAAATCGTTAACGCCAGAAAAAACTGCGTCCGCCAGGCTGTCAAGAATCGATGGCGGAAATACTAGAATCTAGCGAATTATTCTACTTTAATCTGGAAAATTAGATTATCGGGTGTATTCTAGATTTTACAGGAATATATTTAGGGATATATAAGAAGGCCGGCATTGATTTGTAAGTTAAGTTAAAGTTTGACTGTGATACGAGTTAAATAGTGATTATTGAGTTGTAAAGTTTAATTGTTGAGTTAGTTATTAAAGTAATTAGTGTCAGAGTGTATTGTTAAGTGGAATAAATTATTGCTGTGTTAATTGGACTTTGATTTTTGGAATAAACGAAACGAACGACGAACCCAAGATTTCTGTCCGGCGAGTGGCGACCCAAAGCCGCGACAATACTATTTTTCACTCAAAAACTAGAGTAAGTGGAAAGTTGAAATTTTTAGGACTTTTTCCTGAAGGTTCAATGTGAAAAATACTAGAAACTCAAAGCGATTGAGTTCTTATCAATGAAGTTGTGATTTTTCTAAAATAATTATGTTTTTTGAAGTAAAATTTTACAAACAATTTTTTCACTCAAAAACTGAAGTGAGAGGAAAGTTGAAATTTTGAGGACTTTTCCCTCAAGGTTCAACGTAAGAAATACTAAAAACTCAGAGCAATTGAGTTATTATTAATGGAGTTATGGAGTTTTTTACTCAAAAAGTAAAGTGAGTGGAAATTTGAAGTTTTAAGGATTTTTTCCTAAAGATTCAATGTAAAAAATACTAAAAACTCAAAGCGATTGAGTTATTATTAATGGAGTTATGATTTTTTTAAAAATAATGATGTTTTGTAAAGTAGAACTCTAAGGTGTATTACTTAAAAATATTTTGGAATATGCAGGGTGCTCTGTAAATGCCGTATGCGACAGAACTTTGTTATTTGGAATGGAACACCCTATATTTTAGTACAATAATGAATCGTTCTAAAAATCCTACATACAAAAAATCGCAGTTTGCATGTGTCAACAAAAACCAACATTTCATTCATTTGAGATCCTTAAGCTAAATCTTTTGCAGGTTGTCAGTGCATATCATATTTCATAGATTCCTATGAAAATCTGATAACATTCTTTAGAGTGTTCGCAATACAGTATACACAAAACCAGACATTTTAAACAACAATAACTTTTTTTTTCAAATGGAAAACTCTTTATTTTACTGCATAGTAGGTACGTCGGTACTGGCAAACTTTGGTACTGGTGAGCCTATCAATTTATACAATGCCTTTAAATGTTATATTTTGTTTTGGCAAAAAAATCTTTGTCTGGGAGGGGTAATTACCCCCTTTACCCCCGGTTTAAATCGCCCTTGGTAAAAAATAATTGAGTGATCAATATCCGATATCCCTACAAATTTTCGTGATCTCAATTTCATTTCACTTATTCTGGAGAGTGATGTAAAATGACGGTCATTTAACAACGTGACGATCATTTGCGTCTTGACGGTCATGACCATGGTCATAGTTCATAGTAATTATTTCAATTTAAAACGCCACTACCTACAATCTATCGTCTATTAATTCACAAATGGGTTCAAAATAAAGATAGTCAATTATTGATTATAACATAACATTTTGACAAATTATTCAGAACAGGAGTTTCAATAAATTACAAAATAAGTGGATAAAAGCTATCTTAGCCTAGCAGGTAAAATAAAATAACAAAAACAATAGTTATTCACCTAACAAATGCAGAAGTGATACTTTACCGCAGGCAACGGCAGTCTAAGTGCGGTAAAGGCATTTTACGCATGTGTTAGATACAAAAGTATACCTATGAGCATCTATATATCTACCAAAGAATGTATTATTGAAATTTCTGAACGAGAAGGGATTTTTGAGTGTACCTGAACACCGAATCTACTCCACCGCATACTATGCAGTCTATAGTTTACTGCATATTTCCACACTATGCTTTAAAATAGTCATGACCAATGGTCACATTGAATGTGATGTGACGGTCATGACCGTCATGACCCACCGTCATGCGCGCTGGTCATGACTCACTAACATCACTGATTCTGGATAACATTTTACTATTCTAAATTACATTTAACGCTTTCTCATTTACATTTGACTATTCTCAATTTATTACAATTGACGCTTTCTGAATTACATAATTGAAGAAGATGTAGATGTATTATTTGACAATAATTTCAGTGTTTCTGCGGTAAAAGCAATAGAATGAATGATTCAGACTTGGTAATGAACATATTTTTGGAAGAAGAAAAGTCAGGAGGTTCATGTTTTTTTACAAAATCCATCATTTTATCTTCCTCCAATGTCCAGACTTAATTTCCATCTGTTAAGATTTCATCCTATTTGTTCGTTTAATTTCTCTAAAATCACCGGAAGGTATTCCTGTTCCAAACTGACAATAAATGACAAATTAAACAGTACCTATTGACAACGTGAAAAACCGTTAACAAACTATCACCATATTAACGATGACTCTCACGCATTGAAAAAGCAATAATTCTGAAGTAATTTTCTGTAATATCACGATCGCTATTTGATTTGACAATACTATTTTCGAGGATTGTTTAGTTTGGTATAAGTTACCTTGCAAAGGAATGACGATGACCAAGAACGCCACCCCAAACAACGAGATCCAGCCCATTCTGGCGAACAACAAGTAAACAATGAATACCGACGTCACAATTCCGATCCACATGTCGTTGAACAGCCAAATCGACGCCTCAAAAACGTGCACGTCCTTAGTGATCAACGTCACAATGTTGCCCAAACTGATTTCGTTCATAGCGGATGGAGTCAGTTTTAACGCTTTCCGGTAGAGCAGCGAGCAAAACGACGTGCGGATTTTGATGGCGAACGTTTGCACCCAAATGATGTAGTTGTGCCAGAAAAAGCAGGTGAAGATGTTTAGTGCTATCACTACAGCACTGTAGGTGTACATTTCGTTGCGGCTGCAAGTGTCTTCGGATTTGAAGCAGTTTATTAGGCTGCTTATTGCGTATGGCTCTGTTGCTCTACAAAATTATATATTTGTAAGAAGGATGAAGTTATTTGAAAGTAAGTATGCCATGAGATAATGAAAATTAAAAATTTACATGGTAAAGATTTTGTAGGTCAACGATATCAGTCCGATGAAAGCGTATTTGAAACCGAATCTGGAAAACATCAAGCGGGTGAACGACGGACTGTTTCTCAAATGTTCGTTTTTCCATCTTGTTTCGATTTTGTCGCCGCACTTGTCCGAATTTAGGGTTTTAAGGACAGCGTAGAGGTCGTCTTCTTCCAAATGGTCTTTTTTCAGGGCTTTCCCGAACAGTTTTCGTGTATATCTAAAATAATTTTTAATTTGTTGTTAAGTGTTACTTTCTGATATCACGATAATTCTTGAACAAATAATTATTTTTTGATAAAACTTGTAGTTGTTGACCTAATCTACGAGATTTTTTAATAAAAATCCAAAGAAGGTGACGTTGAAAAAAGGGCCAAAAACTGAATAATTTTAATTTTCATCATTTCTCAATTTTCACTTTTTGCTTATCACTGGTGTTTCTGAGCTAGCGAGCTATAAAGTTGAGCTTTAGTTGAAATTTTGTCGATTTCAAACAACAATAAACCTACACTGCATTACTTACCGATTTAATTTTACATGAAAATTGCCTCTTAAAGATACTTTCAAAACAACAATAACTTCTGTAGTAGTCTATATGACCTAATTTAATATTTATTATAAACTTACATAAATGTTACAGAAGAAAATACATTAGCATTTTCCTTAGGATTCCTTTTACGAATCTCTCTTTCTAAATGATCCATTTTCAAGCACACACAAGAAACACTAAAATAAAAAGACACTATATTCCATGGCTAGTTTGCCGTGACACTAGCAACAAAGTGCGAAAAATCCGTGAGCGTTAAGAGCCTTTTATTAATATACCATTTAATGAGACGACGCGTCAAAATTGAGACTATAACAAATACAAATTTTGATGCGATTTACTCAAAGACAAATACGAGCGAAAGAACAATGCAACACTATATTGAAATGTCGAGTGTTTGCGTTTGGATAATAAATTGATAAAATGAAGGTAATATGTCTAAATATGAAGATTTAGCAGAGAAAATCCAACTTCTTGTAAATTTATTATAGAAGTCATTCACTTTGATGACCCTTGGAAAATAACATATTTTTTTATTGATTTTGATATTTTATGCGTTTCTTGGCTTTTTTTTCTGTTGAGATAGCAGCATATGAAATGACCTTTAATTATGTTTATACTGTTTTTTTCGGAACTGATTAATAAATATCCAGAAAAATTATATTGTCAATTAATTAATAAACTATATTTACGATTATAGATATTATTATAAAAATAAAATTAATTTGGCGCTTGTACTACATGCTGTCAATCCCAATCTTTGGAGCTCGACGGCAAGCCAGTAAAGCTTGGTTGGCCTCTACGAAACCCTTTTTGCACACAGCACCACAGCGAAGGGTACCTGATAAGGACAAGGGGTGCCTTTTATGTTTTTATGGCATCCAGGCAAAAGGGAAAAGGCTTTTAGAAATAGAAAGTGATGACAACAGTTATGATTAGAGTTTTGAAGCGTTCGTTACGGCTCGAATCTTGTGTTTATTTTGTGACTAATCTCGTTCTGAATTATTAAAGTATTTTGAAAGTACGTAGTTTTTGTTATTACATACGTAAAAGACTACATACACTACTACAGAAAATTAACCGACTTTGCTGACGGTAGCAATAATTCTTGTATAAATTTCGCGCACCGCAATGCAGTCAGGCAGAGGTTAGTCTCCACCCACAGCCTTAGTTCTTCCAAGGTACAGGCCTAAAGACTTTCTCTCCAACTTGGGTGTGAGGTCTATAGTCTATAAACCTAGCAGTCCCAAGGTGGAAAAAAACTTCGGGAACTATATAATAATTAGGTGTTTTTTAGGTGCTAATTAGGGCCTCTAATTAAAAATTAGGTGCTCCTTTAGTTTTTGAGAAAATCAAAAAAAAACTAAGGGATTGCTAGGTTTATGAAAGCTAGTAGTCCCCTATAGTGAAACATATTTTTCCAAAAATTTCTTTGGTATCAGAATTAGGTGCTCCTAAATAATCGAAGAAAAAATAGAATTGATTAATTATTATTAACTGAGTTACAGATTTTTTTTTAATTATTAGGGAACTGCTGGCTTTACGTTTACTTGTTGGTGTGTCAGAATGGCAAAAAAACTTCGGGATCTATATAATAATTAGGTACTTTTTAGGTGCTAATTAGGGCCTCTAATTAAAAATTAGGTGCTCCTTTAGTTTTTGAGAAAATCAAAAAAAAACTAAGGGATTGCTAGGTTTATGAAAGCTAGTAGTCCCCTATAGTGAAACATATTTTTCCAAAAATTTCTTTGGTATCAGAATTAGGTGCTCCTAAATAATCGAAGAAAAAATAGAATTGATTAATTATTATTAACTGAGTTACAGATTTTTTTTTAATTATTAGGGAACTGCTGGCTTTACGTTTACTTGTTGGTGTGTCAGAATGGCAAAAAAACCTCGGGATCTATATAATAATTAGGTGCTTTTTAGGTGCTAATTAAGGCCTCTAATTAAAAATTAGGTGCTCCTCTAGTTTTTGAGAAAATTAAAAAAAAACTAAGGGATTGCTAGGTTTATGAAAGCTAGTAGTCCCCTATAGTGAAACATATTTTTCCAAAAATTTCTTTGGTATCAGAATTAGGTGCTCCTAAATAGTCGAAGAAAAAATAGAATTGATTAATTATTATTAACTGAGTTACAGATTTTTTTTTAATTATTAGGGAACTGCTGGCTTTACGTTTACTTGTTGGTGTGTCAGAATGGCAAAAAAACTTCGGGATCTATATAATAATTAGGTGCTTTTTAGGTGCTAATTAAGGCCTTTAATTAAAAATTAGGTGCTCCTCTAGTTTTTGAGAAAATCAAAAAAAAACTAAGGGATTGCTAGGTTTATGAAAGCTAGTAGTCCCCTATAGTGAAACATATTTTTCCAAAAATTTCTTTGGTATCAGAATTAGGTGCTCCTAAATAATCGAAGAAAAAATAGAATTGATTAATTATTATTAACTGAGTTACAGATTTTTTTTTAATTATTAGGGAACTGCTGGCTTTACGTTTACTTGTTGGTGTGTCAGAATGGCAAAAAAACTTCGGGATCTATATAATAATTAGGTGCTTTTTAGGTGCTAATTAGGGCCTCTAATTAAAAATTAGGTGCTCCTCTAGTTTTTGAGAAAATCAAAAAAAAACTAAGGGATTGCTAGGTTTATGAAAGCTAGTAGTCCCCTATAGTGAAACATATTTTTCCAAAAATTTCTTTGGTATCAGAATTAGGTGCTCCTAAATAATCGAAGAAAAAATAGAATTGATTAATTATTATTAACTGAGTTACAGATTTTTTTTTAATTATTAGGGAACTGCTGGCTTTACGTTTACTTGTTGGTGTGTCAGAATGGCAAAAAAACTTCGGGATCTATATAATAATTAGGTGCTTTTTAGGTGCTAATTAAGGCCTTTAATTAAAAATTAGGTGCTCCTCTAGTTTTTGAGAAAATCAAAAAAAAACTAAGGGATTGCTAGGTTTATGAAAGCTAGTAGTCCCCTATAGTGAAACATATTTTTCCAAAAATTTCTTTGGTATCAGAATTAGGTGCTCCTAAATAATCGAAGAAAAAATAGAATTGATTAATTATTATTAACTGAGTTACAGATTTTTTTTTAATTATTAGGGAACTGCTGGCTTTACGTTTACTTGTTGGTGTGTCAGAATGGCAAAAAAACTTCGGGATCTATATAATAATTAGGTGCTTTTTAGGTGCTAATTAGGGCCTCTAATTAAAAATTAGGTGCTCCTCTAGTTTTTGAGAAAATTAAAAAAAAACTAAGGGATTGCTAGGCTTATGAAAGCTAGTAGTCCCCTATAGTGAAACATATTTTTCCAAAAATTTCTTTGGTATCAGAATTAGATGCTCCTAAATAATCGAAGAAAAAATAGAATTGATTAATTATTATTAACTGAGTTACAGATTTTTTTTTAATTATTAGGGAACTGCTGGCTTTACGTTTACTTGTTGTGTGTCAGAATGGCAAAAAAACTTCGGGATCTATATAATAATTAGGTGCTTTTTAGGTGCTAATTAAGGCCTTTAATTAAAAATTAGGTGCTCCTCTAGTTTTTGAGAAAATCAAAAAAAAACTAAGGGATTGCTAGGTTTATGAAAGCTAGTAGTCCCCTATAGTGAAACATATTTTTCCAAAAATTTCTTTGGTATCAGAATTAGGTGCTCCTAAATAGTCGAAGAAAAAATAGAATTGATTAATTATTATTAACTGAGTTACAGATTTTTTTTTAATTATTAGGGAACTGCTGGCTTTACGTTTACTTGTTGGTGTGTCAGAATGGCAAAAAAACGTCGGGATCTATATAATAATTAGGTGCTTTTTAGGTGCTAATTAGGGCCTCTAATTAAAAATTAGGTGCTCCTCTAGTTTTTGAGAAAATTAAAAAAAAACTAAGGGATTGCTAGGCTTATGAAAGCTAGTAGTCCCCTATAGTGAAACATATTTTTCCAAAAATTTCTTTGGTATCAGAATTAGATGCTCCTAAATAATCGAAGAAAAAATAGAATTGATTAATTATTATTAACTGAGTTACAGATTTTTTTTTTAATTATTAGGGAACTGCTGGCTTTACGTTTACTTGTTGGTGTGTCAGAATGGCAAAAAAACGTCGGGATCTATATAATAATTAGGTGCTTTTTAGGTGAAACTGGAATAAATCCCAACCTAAATTTACACAGATCGTAGTACAAATAAAATTTGAAAAAAAAACACATTTAAACATTTCGTGACTAAAAATATATCTTTTCGAAAAAGGATTAAGTCAGATTTTGTTATGAAAGACACAAACGTGAATAGATAATATGAATTAAATGCATAGAAACTAAAATAATTAATGATGTATGTTTCTGGATTCTGCTACAGAGTTTTTATACCGGATCATAGGTACTGAAAGACTTTAAGTTTTTTTTTTCACAATATTTGATGTTTTGTTAGGAATTATTGAAATGCGAACTTGAATAATTGAAAATTACTTTTAAAGATTAAAACAAACAGAATTATAATTTAAATAACACGTCATACTTATTTGTTTTATTTGTTTGAGAAAATATAATGTGGTAATCTTTGTGTTGTTATTTAAAACAGTCTATAACAATGGGTGTTTATCCATAGCAAAACTTTATTTATATACTTACTACATAATAGTTGAATAAATATTTACCCTTATTGCCGTATCGGTGATAGTCTGTTGTTTTTAAACTGACCCTTTCCGTATGAGAAGCGAGGGGGTGAAGCATATGGCAAAAACAGATGTGACGTCAGGTGAGCCACCCGCTCACATTCCTATGAAGAATCAGATTGAAATCGACGGACTTTATAATTTATACTTAAACCCTAAACCTAATAATAATATGTAATTATTATTTTTTGTATTTGTAAAACAAAACAAAAGAGCAGAAAATATATAATATATGCAATATAATTTAATTATAACCAACTTCAAGTAGGTGAGCGCCAAGTTTATTAAATCAGGAAACGTTTTACCAATTTACCAATAAATAAAATTGTTCCAAATTTGCGTATTAAACCGTGGCGCTCGCTTGTATGATAAATTGAAATTGACTGTAAATAAGTTATCATTATCATTACGATTTTTTAAAGAAAATAACATACAGATAAACTGACACATTTTGCAGGTACATTGTATACAAGGTGTCCCAGAATATGTGAGCAATCTCTCGGATTCAGATAGAATACAGAAAAATAACAGGACAACTTCTCATAGAAAAAAATTCCTATGCCCTCTTCCCCTACAAAAATACGTGCCGCTAAGAGACGCCTCTGAAAATCGGTTTTTTGTTGATAACTTTCATATTACTTCGTGTAATTTTTTTTCTTCTAATATGATGGAAACTATTTAGATTAGAATGAACCCTTTCAAACGCACTTGACCAATTTAGTTTGCCAGGGACTAACTAGCTTTATCTCCGAATAATTTTGTTTATGCAGTTCAGGGGACCATGATGATATGATTTTTTTGGAAAATTTTGAAAGGTCATAACTTTTTTTCTATTATACATAGATAGAAAGCTGAATCTTTCACTGAATTTTATTCCTTTCAAAGGACTACAATTCCTGAGAATTTCAGCTCATTTGCACTTATAGTTCCTGAGTTAAAATCGTGTTAAGCAATTGTGGTGATTTATCAATTTTTCAATTTTTCTGAGTGCCTTTTTTCATGGATTTTGGCTTCAAATCTGAGAATAATTTAGTTTATGGAGTTCAGGGTATCACGAGGGACCATTTGGACACAAAATCTCGACAAAAAAAAATTTGAAATTTCATCGTTTTAGTAGGAAGGTACCCCCCCCTTAT